CCTTATTTTCAGACACCCGGCTTAGGATTTTAAGACAGACTTCCTCCATTGGAAGTCCTTTATCCTCGAGGACAAGTAATGATAATTTATAAATAATAATATAAATATATAAATTAATTAATTTTTTTGTAAACAGAAACTTAAAGATATCGAAAAACAAGTAGAAAACGGCTTAATAGCATTGCGTGCTGAATATAATAAAGATGCTACTTTGGAACAAAAAATGAATGAACTTGTTGAATTGTGTAAAGAATTTGGAAAAGAACTACCAAACTTTAGAAGCAAAAAAGTAATTTACTTTAATATAAAATTTTAATTAAATAACAAACACGTAACATAATTTATTATTTATTATACAAAAGTTTCAGACAAAAAAATTAAAATCTACAAAAGAAAATGAAAGTTCTTATGAAAAAATGAAATCAAGACATAAAAAAATCGATCGTTGTATGGATCTAATGAGAATTAAAGAATTAACTTTTGAAAAAAAACTAGAAAGGTTACTTCACGAATGTTTTTTAAGAAGACAAGAAAAAAGAAAACAAGAAAAAAAAGAAACAAAAGAATTTAACCCAAATTATTTTGATACTATTGTCCAAAAAATGCAAAGATGTTTGTATTATCTTGAAAATGTTTACTATAGTGATAACGAAGATGATAATTTAAACTTAATTCTTGAAACATGTCAAAAATTATAATTACCAGATATATTATCTTTTTATTTTTAAAGTTTTTTTATATGTAATTATCTATTATAAATAAATTTATAAGTAAAAAATTAAATTCCACATTTTTTTTTTTTTTGAAACTCCGTTTTGACTATTAAACAAAAACCGAATTAATTAACTCTGAACCTCCATTTTGATAAACTATATTTAGTAATTGATAACAACTCCGAAACTCTAAATAATTTGTAATACCAATATTAAAATAATGATCGTCAATACAAATACCTGCGAATGTCTGTTTTTTTTAATTTTTTTTTTTAACTTGTGACTTTGATGAAAACACATTTTGTTTAGATAGGGCCTGAAATTTAACAGTTTAAACTATTCTAAAGTTTCCCTCATATTGATGAGTTTAAACTAAGCTAATAGAATCCCTGT